TAAATGACGGATAATGAAATCTCGATTATCACTTTATCATGCGAGAGTATAAAATGTTCGGTGACACCCGTACTTAGCCCTTCCTTACTTGTTATATTTTATTTAATTTTTTTTTTTTTTTTTTCATTTTCCTTTCCAGCCTCGGCGGTCTTGTGCTCGATGCATCTGTTGAAATATTCAGCGGATTCGTCGTGTTTCAACCAATTATCAACGGCATTGGCGGTAATTTGGTGTCGGTGCAAGCGAGTAAAATTTCAACAATGCTTCACCAGAGCTCTATTATTGGCATTATACCACCACATACGAAGATTTTCGAATGGCCATGGAAAGCGCTGTTCAAAGGAGGTAAGCTGAATATGTTGATCTTTGTATTCAGTTAAACTCAGGTTTTGTTACTCACAATTATCAAATGAGTTATTTACTGACTTCCATATAAGAGTTTTTTTAAATTTCAATAAATTTTTTTTTTTCAAACCAAATTCTTAAAGTAACTTTTTTCGTTTGAAGTGAAACTATGTTTTCCTTCAATTTTTATAACTCACATTTATTCGCTGCAAAGATTATTTTCATGCAAATGTTATATAATTTTTATTATTTTTAAAACCCTCATATATTATTCTTCATAAATCAGAATTATAATTTTTTCCTTAGAAACAGTACTTTAGTTTTATAATATATATATTCATATATCTAACATGTTGCCCCACTTTTCAGTTCCATATGCTAAAACGGCGCGCATACTCCTTGGCATGTCAATTCCCGGTAATATTGTGTTCGTTTTTGCTGCCGATTACATACATATGTCCACGTCCACGGTTACTATTGCTTTCGTTTTATCTTATCTGACGGCGAGTTTAATTCAGGTTAGTAAACAAATAATCGCTTATATCTTCTTCATAAATTTTTATTCATTATCAAGTTTGCTCAGCAGAAACTAAGAATTTGGTAGGCTTTAATAGTTTTGTCAGGGTTTTTATGCTTTGTAAGTTGTAACTGATAGAATTATATTGTTAACTTATCGTCTATATATCTTCATTCTGGCTAAGGATTAATCAAAGTTGTTTGCGCAAAAAATTCTTCGCAAACCAATTCAGAGCTTTTATCCGACTCCGGAAGGTCGTGTCAAGGTTATCTCTGTTAAAAAGCCAACAAAGCTTTTAACTTGGCAGTATTTTTCAATCATCAAACTTCTCCCAAAAACTGCAACTTTATTCGCCGGAAACTGCAAAGCCAATAAGCTTGTTAGAGATTCCACCCATTAACCCAATTCCATCAGATTGGAAACGAGCCGGTACCTCATTTTCATCTTTATCTCTCGATCTATGGAAATCACGTGACGTGGGCAACAATGGAGCTGCGAGATCCTTTTGTTTAAGAGTGAACCCTGAATAACTTGGCCTTAGCAAAGTCCAACTCGCCGCAATTGTAGATGTTCTCTTCAATAGGCTTATAGGGTTTGTCCGGCAAGTAATAGGACTGATTTGCTTCCGCCGCGACTATACTTCGGAGCGTGCGAACACCGACTGGATTCGCTAAAGAGCGTTCCTAGTTAACGAACGAGCGGCTGGTCAGTTATCTCCGAGCACCTGGAGAGTCAGGACAAACATTTTCGCGCGACGTGTTTCTGTGAGTGATGCAAAGCGAAAATGCCGTTTCCTTGGAGCAGAAGTACGCGATTAAATTCTGTGTGAAACTCGTTAAACCTGCGACAGCGACGTTTAATATGACCAAGCAGTCTTACCCAGATGTTGCTTTAGCAAGAAGTGGTAATGAAGAAGAGCGAATCTTTCGAGTGGCACACGCCGGCGTCTCCTCGCCCAAAAAAGGGAAGGAAACAGTGAAAACGATGGTCATTGTCTTTTTTCCCATCAAAGGCATCGTCCATCATGAATTTATTCCTCCTGGAGAAACCATCAATGGTAAATTTTTAGTGGAAGTCCTCAAGAGACTCAAAAGAAAGGTCAATCGGGTAAGACAAGACATCGCGACCGATTGGAAGTTACACCACGATAACGGCTCGGCTTACATCGTCTATCTTGTGAACAACTACCTAACCAAGGCCGGCATCCCAACGCTTCCGCCCCACAGCTCATATGTGGCCCACTCGAACTTTTTTGTTTCCTTGCCTGAAAAGGCCAATGAAAGGCAAGCATTTTGAGATGGCAGAAGGGATCCAAGCAGCATACACCTGGCCCTCAAGGCTATTCCGGAGAATACTTGGAATGCTTGGAAATCGCACTACATCGACGCAGAAGGAGCCTATTTCGAAAGTTGTTAAAAAAATTTAACGATTGGTTTAATACTTTTTTTTAAATCGATTTAGTATTATTACTTTCCGGACAAACCCTGTACATACGGTACGGCCAAACATTTAGTCAAACACCTTGTACCAAAGCTTTATGAAGGAAAGCGAGGTGAAATCATCTAAGCACTTCATCCTTTATTGTCGAGACTATGATTGAAATATCACGGTAGACACACCTTCGGCGAACCTAGCACAGTGGCTGAGTTTGATATTAAACGTTTTAGAAAAATGCTTCGTCGATCTACAGATTCTTGTGGATTGTGGATAAGGAAGAAATGTGTTTAATCATATTACATAATTACTCTTAAATCCTTATACAAAATCCTTTTCGCAATATTTAACTTTATTAATATTTTGTTATAATTTTAGGTTATGTTACTGTTGTATATTGCTCACGTTATTGTGCATGCGATGTGGAAATGGAAAATTGATCCCGACAACTCATCGATTCCGTATCTAACTGCGCTGGGCGATTTGCTGGGTTCAAGTTTATTAGCGCTGGCCTTCCTCTTCCTTCTTTCGATTAATCAAGAATACGGCACTGAACTGAACGAACTCAATGCCTCGAACTGAGAGCGAAAAAACGTGAGCCCCAAATAAATTACATATATTGTATATGATAAAAAAGAGTAGAGGGGTGTGAGACTACAACGTTTAAAGTAAAACAAATAAATACAACAATTAAATGAAAGGCTTTAAAGTGATTAACGAAAATTTATTAAAAAGAAGAAAAAGTTCCCGATTTTCCCAAGCCGAAGCGTGGTAAAGCAGCAACAAAACGCATACATTTACCTACCAACCTTCAGTACGTACCTAAAGAGCATTAATTTATTTTTTTAAGCCAAGCCATAAATAATAACCTTATAAAATAATAAATAAAAATAATATAAAATAACAGGAAAGCGTTAAAAATCGATTATTTTAATATAAGAATATGTATTTATGTAAAAAGTTATTTAATACATACTAGTAATTTTAAAACGAAAAGTGGAATGTTGGGGTAAAAGAAATAAAAACGAAGGGTTACAAATGAAACGAATTGCAAGTGCGACTATTTATAACTGTAAAATTATGTAGTAAAGAAAACGATTTATAAGCAGAAGATTAGAAAACAAAAAAACAACAATAGCAAGGATAGTAAGTGTGTATATATGAGTAGGTTAAACGAATTTTGCGCGAATTTATATTAATGGCAAAGATATAAAAAAGCAGAGTTATGAAATTTGCTGGTATTCAAAATGTCACGCCTAAAACGCAAACCAAATCATCAATTGTGAAAAGACTTGCATACAGATAGTATTAAAAACATATATGTATATTTATACATGCTTACACCATATTGTATGTATGTATATATGGCGGTGAAGTATATGCCACAAATACAATTAAAAACTCGTTGCTTGGTAACATTGCAAATCAATACAATAATATTGTTAATAATTATATGCGCAAATTAAGAATTAGTACAGAAAAAGTGTCATAAATAAAGTAAAATAAATTAATAATCAATTATTAAAAAAGATAAGCATAATATTTAATGCAGCATATATGTAATTACTAACGACAAGTGAGATTTTTTAACAATCATTCGTAAACTAGCTTGAGTTTGTTTAATTAAAATAAGGCAATAAAGTCAAATAAATAAGTACTTAGTTCATTACACCTTGTTAAAATGCAAAGCGAAAAAAACATACATAAAACAACTCAATTATTACATAATAAGTAAAGAACGTGAAACTAAAACAGATGTCATGATTAATTAAGTTGATTATGTTTATATTTAATATTTTTATATATTTTTTTACATTTTATTTTATTATATTTATATTTTATTAATTTCTTTTCCATTTTAGTTTTTTTTTAGAATTTTTGTACTATTATTTTTTAATATTTCTTTATTATTTTTTAATTTTTTCATATTACCTTTGCGTTAAACCACCGATTAAATCAAATGCTTATTATGCCACTTTCCCATTGCTACATATGTTTGTTATTATTTAATTAATAATAAATATCAATAATAATGTTAACTTAATTAAAAATATTCAAAAAAAATATTGCCAAAAAAACAGATTTAATTTTTGTAAATCTGTACACAATGTTTTGCTGGTATGTATGCAAATTCGAATGCTCATTTAAGAATTAAGAATTTATGCATACAATTATGATTTTAGATGTGCGCCACAATTTTTTAGAAAATAACTTATAGTGTAGAAAAAAATAAAAAGTAAACAAATATTTAAATATGTTCCAAAACTATTACCGTTATGTAGTTATTCAGATTAAAATTTATTTAAATATCTGTAAAATGTTGTGTTAAGCTTTTACTTTTAATTTTTAAAGTAAAAGTTCCCATACTTACTATAATTCAACACATATGTATGTATTTAATAATTTAATTTATATTTTTGTTATTATTTAATTATAATGGCATTCGAGTTAAATTAACTTAATGTGTACATGCAGCCGCGTGTGGGTTTTTATGGGAAATGTGATCGATATTAATTAATTATTTTTAAAATAGAAATTGTAAATTGTGTATGCTACTATTTCATTACGTTATATTATTTAATAATTTTTATTTACTTAAGAAGTATAGAGAAAAATAATTTTTAAGTAAATAACCAAATAAAAAATTATAAATAAAATTGCGAAATAAAATGTTTTAGAAATGACTGGGTGCTCGTTATTCTTTTGGGGTGGCAGGAACTATTTTACGATATCAATTCTTTTTCAAAGCAGTTAGTATTTAAAAGTTAAAGAAAATATTTTAATTAATAATTATTAAATAAATACAAATTTATTAAAAATAATTTTTTTAATATATTATTCCCAATTTTATCGAACACTATTGGTATTTAAACTTTTAATTTTAAACATCTTCTAATTCTAAAATTTTGATATAATTTGTATAATCAATAAAAATTATTAACCAAGTTTATTTACTATGTATCTTGGACCACTCTGTACTTATTCAAATATATAGCTTTTCGTTCGTATTCTACTGCAGACAAGGTTGATATTTCATTCGAGACTCGTTGAATATCAATTGTGAAGTGCGCGAAATGCTAGTAACGTTTGTCCAATTCGATTAGATTTTTTGTTAAATTTAATTACTTTTATTTACGACATATTTCAATAAACATCAACAATTTTGTGTTAATTTCATTTAATTATTCAAAATTTGACATCAAAGCAACTAAGTTTGCATACAAGATTAAATAATAAAGAAACAAATAGTACACATTAATGCGCCATTTGTCAAAGGATTTCGCTAACTCAAAAAATATTAAGTAAAACATAACCATGCAGCATCCACGGCGTACTTCAGAATTCCATGATGAACCTGGTACAGCAACAAAACGGAACTCTCGGTTAGTTAAAATTCTTGAAATAATCTTTTTATATACTAAAAACGCGAATACATTTAAGGAGTACTCAAATGCGTCTAAGTCGCATAGCACGACCACACTCAATAGATCGCCAAACCTTAGGACTGCCTAGCTCAGCAAATCGTGGCACTAGAATCACACCCCAAAAGCAAGCGCAAATCAATGGGATTACGGAAGCGCCTAGCACTGCAAATAAGTACAACACCAAAACGAGTCGCATTGCGCGACCTTCTTCAGTGGAACGTCAAACCTTGGGTATTCCGGGATCTGCTCTGCGCGGCAGTCGCACCACACCACAAAAAACTCCAACTTCAATTAGTAAAACAGCAACGCGTGTACTTTTCACAGCCGAAAAACAGCGAAATGCTCATAACGACAAGAAATGGGTACATGAAAGAGCCCAACTAATTACGGAACATTTGAGAAAAACAGCAAAGCCTGGTACCGTACACGGACTACCATGTGAATTCTTCGCACGTAGTGGCTGTCTACGTCAAATGTCAACTAAACAATTTATAGCAATAATCAATCATTTTCTTTACTATATCTGGGGTACACGATTCACTGTAGGCAATAATTATATCGATGATATTATTAATATAATGCAAAAACTACAATATCCACATCAAGTAAATAAGTCATGGTTAAAGACACCAAATACAACACACTCATTTGGATTTGTAATTCAACTATTTGACTTCTTAATGGATTTTGTGCCACCCCATGATGAAGATGAAATAAATGATATAGAATTTGAATTTGAGGATCCTGAAGCTCTAACACAAAGTTCGCTTATGCAAGAATCGCCGGATGCAGATTTTACAGCATTAATTTTACAAAATTCCGAAGAAGGCTTTAAGCTCTGGGATAAACAATTAGATGATGATCTATATAATCTGAAACAACAGACGTGTGATGTGCTAATTTACAAGCGCTGTGGTCTACAAGGTATTACAGCTCTAGATGCACAGTTAAAAGAACTAAAAATTGATCTTAGTGMCGAAGAGAAAAAACGACCTAAAATAAGCGAAGACGAGGAAGAACGTTGTAATCGCTTAGAAAATGAACTTAAAGAAATACAAGAACAAATACAGACAGCACAAGAAAGTTTAGAAATAATAACTAATAAATTAACTGAATTACAAGAAGAAAAAAACGAATATAAAAGCGAACACACACATCTAGTAAAAAAAGTAGAACAAATACAAAAAATGCTTTCTACACAAACAGTTAGCGCGGATCGACGCGATGCCCTTATTGAGGAGTTAGAACAACGTAAGTACATGTTACAACGAATGGAACGTACTTTACGTGATCTGGAAGGTAGTCAACACCATCAACAAGTTTTAGTATCACGCCACAAAAAACAATTGACAGATCAAATCGTCAAATATAACGATCATATACGCAACATAAGTTGCACCAAACTACAATGTGAAGAGAGTGTATTGCAGTTGCCTCTCAATCCACAGCTTGAGGATGTTAAAGAATGCATAAAAATGTTGGAGGCAACACGCGCGAGTGTCCAAAACCAATTACAACAGATCATACAGCAAAAGCAAGTACTTGATAAGCAAGCACTTCAACTGAATCACAATATAAATACATGTTTAAAACCAAAATGTGCTGAACTAGAGATGGCAATAAAACACGCGGAGCGTGACAGTAAAGAAATTGCAAAACAAATGCAAACACAATGTACCGTTCTGGATGCACAGTTGCATAAACTAGACGAACGCATACAACAGTTACAAATTTATTGCAAGTCATTAAAGAATACAAAACGTGAAAAGCACATGACATTAGAAAACTTAGAAAAGCAAAATGAAGAATTAATGAATCGCGCTGAATTGGAATATAAAACGGTTGCCGATGAACGCGAAGCATATCTTAATGAATATGAGACGAAGCTTGAACAAGCAAATCAGATATTATTGCAATTCGTTGAAGAAATAGAGCAACGCGAATCAATGCTGAAACGAATCGAGGAAGAGGAGGTAAAAACTTAATTAAATACATTTTATATTATATAGTAATGAAATGGAATTTAATTTATGATCTTTGTTTTATCTCTCAATATTAAATACACAATAAGTTATTACAAATGCAAGTACACATATGATCATATAATTAAATTGCTATACCTATATATAATCAATAACTTGTCCAAATACGTACAATGTTCTGCCTTTAAAAATTTTTTTTATATAGTTATGATTTGAAACTTTTTTAGGCTTAGTACTATAAATCGAAAACATTGCTATGAAATGTAATTTCGCTAAACACCTTTTCAACCCTCTCCAGTTGAATGAAAATTATTATTTATGTAATTATTTATATTATAACTCACTACTTCGTTATTGACAAAGCGAAATCAATTAT